TTTCGTCGCCAAGCCGTCTTCCTTAAACCAATAAATAAACTTTCTAAGGATTGTCTAGCCCAAGGGCTTGTAAAGAGCATAGCAGCTGTTGCTGTCCGGCGGGGAAAGCACGGCGACTTTGCTTCACTTCACTACTGCACAGACCACCTGCTTCGTGTGTGCCAAAACAAGAGAAGTGCATGGGTGGTTTCACATTGCAACCAAGCCTTGTCCTACAGGGGGTGCTTAGTTTTTGGAAAAGCCCTTGGGCTAGATTGAAGCCTTGAAGCCGTTTGCTTGGTTGTAACCGGGATTCCAGAATAATTATTTTTTGGGAAGGCAACACAAAAGGAAGCAACAAGCACCAATAATTCAGATTCTGATTTTTTTTAGTAAAAAAAAAATATAATTCAGATTCTGGATTTCGTGGATAGCCCTTGCGGTCCTGCATATATAAATATATATATATATATATATATATATATTTACATATTTATATACATATGTGTGTGTGTCTGTATGCATATGGAAGCATATACATATATATATATATATATACATATAGCAACACATAAACAGGAAGAGAGCTGTTTCTTCAAGCACAATCAGTCTAAGGCTTTAAAGTTCATGGCTGCTGGGTTTGCCATCAATCATTGATTCAATCAATTGAAAGCAAAACAGTTCAAGCATCAGTCTAGGAAAGAATATGTGTACATCAATATACATACATACATATATATATGTATATACATATACAGATACGTATATACATGTATATATACACATGCACACACACACATATATATATACATACAAACATATATACATATATACATATAGACATACGCATGGACATGATGGAAAGAAGCCGTGAGGCTCGTGATTTCGCTGCCATCAATCAATGATTCAATGAAACTAAAGCAAATCAATTCAAGTCATTCCGTCACATCACACCAGTACAAGAAGGAGTACGTGCACATTAATATACAAACATAATATATATATATATATATATATATACACGTGTATATATATATATATATGTACACACACACTGACATCATGAAAGGAAGCCGTGAGGCTCGTGATTGCGGGACAATATTCAACCCGTCAACTTGGAAGCATTCAGTGTCGCCGAAGCTGCTCTGCTAGATATTCATGAAAGTTGCATGGCTGTGCAACCCAAAGCTGACCAAAACCGTGCACCCTTTAAGCTGTAAACCCTGAAACCCGGACACCCCTAAACCTCATATAATTCATAAGTGTTGAACACCATGAACCCCAAAGCCTATATAGCAAACCTATATAAGCCCAGGAGTCTTAGGAACCGTGGCATGCATGCCGGCTCTACGGATCCTCGCTCCATGGCTGCACTGCAAATGGTCTGGAGCCTATGGGCTGTTGTTTGCGAGCTGGTCAGGCTGTCGGGTCAAGCCGAGGGCAACCAAGAAGGTGGTGAAGACGAAATTCGTCTTCACCACCTTCTCGGTTGCCCAGTCGGTGCAAGGCGATAATGGATTTGGCTATGGCTCCTGGAGCCTATATGCTGGTTGCTGCGGCTACGAAAAATGGACAAAGGCGAAGCCATCAAGCTGGCCAGCCCACCATGGGCTACCTGGTGCAGGTAGTCCATCGTTGGCTGGCCAGCTCAACGGTTGTGTTGTTTGTAGAGCCTGAGGCTGGTTCTGCATGCGGCTGCGAAGAATGGAGAAAGGCGAAAGGACCAAGCTGGCCAGCCCACCATGGGCTACTTGGTCCAAATAGTCCATGGTGGGCTGGCCAGCTCAACGGTTGTGCTGATCCTGGAGCCTATAGGGCTGGTTGTCCCAGAGATAGTCGATGATAAGCTAGCCAGCTCAACCGTCGTGCTCAGAAGTCGGCCGAAAAGCTTTTTTCCAATTGGGCACCGGGGAGCACTGGAAAGACCTAGCCGTTGGTTGCTGGCCGCTCTACATTCTGCAGTGGAGAATGGCTGGCTGGGCAGATCCTGCACAAAAGCACACGACGTGCAGGCTCTGGGAACGATGCAGTTGCTTCCTGTGTGGCAAAACAAGAGCAGTGCATGGTTCGTTCTAATTCTTCCCAAGCAATATCATACAGGGGCTAAAGTAGACCTGGAAAAGGCTTTCCTGGTGGCCCATCTCCCTAGGTTGTCTTCAAGCCCTATATAGAGCCGGCAGCTTTCAAGAATTATGTGTTGTTCAGATACAAAAGCTCTTGGGCTGGGGTCGGCACTTCTGCACATGTAGGAAAATTTTGTTTCTTTCACATGCAGTATATCCACATTTGACGAAAAATACGAGGATCATGCACTATACACAAAGGAGACATACGACATGCTTGAAGAATGAAGCTTGCCTGGGGGGAAGCATGTGCGGCCGAACATCTCCACACCGACACAGCAGGGAAAAGCACCCGGCACCTGCTCTCTCTCTCTCTCTCTCTCTCTCTCTCTCTCTCTCTCTCTCTCTCTCTCTCTCTCTCTCTCTCTCTCTGTGTCTTTCTCTATATAGAAGCATGTGTATGTACATAGAGAGATGCTGTGTGTGTATATATATATGTAGCATTTGCATTCACGAACCCTTGGTCGACCATAAAATTTCGTGCCTGAGCAGCTGCTGCAGGCAAAAACCACAATCTTGAGGCATGGCTCTTTTTTGATGCCAGCAGTTGTTTCCTTCTTAGATAATGTTGACATGTTTCTGTATATTTGATTCATGTAAGTATGTCCGCTGGCAGAGCTCTCGAGCTGACAAACGGTAGCCGTAGCACATTGAAAAGCCCTTCCGAGATGGCCGAGTGGTCTGTGCAGGATGTTGTGCAAGACATGAAGGACAATGCGAAGTTGTTGGCCAATAGAAAGGGCAAGGCTACCGGCGGCCTTCAGCAAGGGGTGTTGAAGTCCATTTTGTTTCGCTTAGAGAGCTTGCATCAGTTGGATGCAGCAGGAGCTCTCGAGCTGCACAAGGCAGTTCAAGAGAGCTCTTTTCCGGAGGACATGCAAGAAGCCATTGCCGGCAAAGTGGACCAGCTCATGGGCGAGGCTTGCGAGGAGCAGGAGCCTGCCACACTGCAGTCGCTCAAGCCGCAGCATTTGAAGTGTTTGTACAACTACTTCACCCAGAGCGAGTGGGATGTCTTGACAAGTTTGGAGGCTTCCTGGTACTCGAAGGAGCAGGTCACCATTGCACGGCTCAAGAGCCTTGGGTTCCGAAGCTTGGCAGAGTCGACCGTGAAACATTCGATCGCTACGATGGCATGCTTCATGGACAGCATTCCGTCGTCTGACAAGATGCACGACCTTGCATGTCAGCTCAAGACGGCATTCGCGAACTCGGAAGAGCAGCAAGTTGATCACAGCATCTATTTGGTCAAGTTCCCCGACAGCCCTGCTGAACTTCCCCGGGCCCTCTTCGAGGCGGCCTACCCAGATGAGAAGCCAGTGGCTCGGCGACCAGAGAATTATCCTCACATCCTCAAGCTGTGCCCTGTGAGAACTTCGCACAGGAATGTCGCCCAGAGCAAGAAAAGGAAGATGATGGAGCTGCAGCAGCCTGCTGCCACTTCTTCCGAGCTCAAGGGCTGTTCTCACAGCGAGCCTACGGGCTTTCACAGCTTTCCTCAAAGCCAGGCCGGATTTGGGATGCAGGAGTTCATGGGCATGATGAAGGCTGTCGCACAGGTGGCCAATGTCTTCCAGCAGAACCAGCCGGGTGGACAGCAGTTCAAGCCGAAGCCGAAGGCTAAGGCTTTGAAGATGTTGCCGCCAGCACCCAAAGAGCCTCCGGCTGAGGAAGAGCCTCCGGCTGAGGATGAGCCTCCGGCTGAGGATGAGGAGAGTGAGGAAGAGGAGCAGGCCGAGAAGACGACTGATGAGAAGAAGACAGGCCGTGCGGGGATTGACGAGCAGCTTTTCCTGGCCTTGAAGGACAAGAAAGCGAATGCGGGCAATGGGCAGAAGACATCAAAAGCCAGTAAGGCTCAGGGCAAGCCCAAGAGCAAGTCCAAAGCCAAGGGTCAGGCTGAGGGTGGAAAGAAGCCCACTGCTGCAAGCTTGCCACGGTACATCGCTGAGAAGCCCACGGCTGCACAGAGAAAAGCTCGCAGAGACAGTTACGTGGACAAGCACTACCACAAGGGCAGAGACATCGCCCGACGAAGCGGCTGCGACGATGAGGCTTGCAAAGAATATGCTAGATCAGCTCGTGCAGCAGCAGCAAAGCTGTGGGACAAGTGATGCTACCCTGCAGGGCCGAAGGCTCGTGCAATTTGGCCATCGAAGCATGAGACTCCTGGGGAGCCTCCGGGCTATAGCAGGTTCCATGGGACATGGATGCATGTCTTTAGATGGCGCTTGCTGGGTGTTGAGGATGGTCTCGCTCAAGTGTTTAAGAGAGCTATCCGAATCATTGGCCGTGAAGCCAGTGCTGGGGGAAGCAGAAAACGAAGGGATTGCGCCATGCTGACCATGCAAGCTGTATGCAAACATTTAAGCTTCAACTTTGCGACTTTAGGGTTTCAAGCTTTGGCATATGGGTTATTTTCTTGTTTTCTTGGTTTAACCATTAATGGCTAAACCAAGAACCTGAAACCTACAATCTAAAAGGTAGTTTCATGTTTTCGGCTGTGTCAGGCTTCAGCTTTTCAAGCTGAAGCATTATCATGGTTTAGGGGTTTTAAGGCTGCAGCTTTTCACACTGCATGGAACATTATCAGCCAGTCTCGACTACTATGCAAATTTCGTGCATGGTTCGAGGCTTTAGGCTTCACAGCACTCGTATAGCCCACTGCCTGTCAGACTCGGACAACCCAGTATGGCTTTAGGATTTGTTCTTCAAACCTTCGCTTTGCAAAGCTTTTTCGCATGCTATCTTTTTTTGCCATGGGAGGCCTGCACTATGCAGGGAATGAATATAGACCGTATAGGAAATATGTGCATTTATTTCTTTTTTGAAGTATCGTGATGAGCCATGCACGAAACTCGCTAAATCAGGGTATCTTTTTGAGTGGTGTCAGCGGCCATGGACAGAGGAGCTAAGCTGCAGAAGCTGGAAGCTTTCAAACGAAGGCTACCGCCTATGTCGGCTGCAGCCATGTCTGCTCTTTTGCAAGCGGTGGAATCGTCTGGCCTACCGGAAATGCATGGAAGAAAACATGTCAAGGAGGCGACAGAGAATGCACTCGAACAGCATTCTGCTTATGGTCCATTGCTTCAGAGCATGGCAGTGCAGGACAAGGATGGTGCTGAACAGACTCTCATATTCGTCAATTTTTTTTCGTTTCTACAAGCCCTGTGGCTCGCCTCTGCTGAGTGGAGACGATTGCTCCATGGCAGTAGCACTCGTGCTCCTTGCAGGCTAATCTTTTACTCCGACGAAATCAATTGTGGAAACCCGTTGGCGCCTGAAGCATCCCGGAAAGTCTGGGCAATCTATGTATCATTTTTTGAGCTAGGCCCCATCAACCTGAGTAAAGAAGCCTCATGGCTGCCGCTGTGCTTGGTCAGAACCACTGTGGTGTCCAATTTGCCTGGTGGTATGAGCCAAGTGGCTGGCATGCTGCTGAAATCTATCTTCGTCTCTGGCAATGCGAGCCCTGAAGCAGGAGTGCTGTTGAAGCGGCCTGATGGTGGAAGAGCCGAAAGGCTGTTTTTCAGGCTCGCTGCATTCCTACAGGATGGAGCAGCACACAAGCTGCTTTTCTCGATAAAGGGGGACGCAGGTACTCGGTGTTGCTTGCTTTGCCGAAACATTCTGGCGAACAATAGCATTGAGCTAGCAGAAGCTCGATTGCTGAATCAGTGCTTCAAAGAGGCTGATCTGTAACTGAACAGCGACGAGGATTTCAGCCGAAGCATCATGAAGCTGTTGGAGAAACATGAAGAGCTGACGAAGACCGACTTTGCTTTGTGGCAGCAGGCCGTGGGCATCGTTTATCAGCCTGAGAGCTTGATCTTTGACCCGGAACTCTGCACTGTCGCCAAGCCTGTCAGCCAATGGCTTCACGACTGGATGCATGCCTTTTTCGTCAAAGGCATTTGGATGCTTGGTTTTGCATGTAACAATATATACGAAATACCAGTTCTTTTCCTTTCCTGCACTGCACTTGTTGGCATGATCATTTTCTTCCTGCCTGCCCAGCCCCGACTCTTGGCAGGAACACTTGCATGCAGCTCACTATGAAAGCTGCTGAGAAAGGCCTTGGCCAGGACTTCTACAAGATCTGTGCTGATTATGTGGAGCAGTGGATTTTGCCTCGTTCGAAATCGCAGAATCTGGCTAAATTGTTTACTGCGAAGAGGAAGGAAGCCAACAAAAGCGCTGAGACCTTCAAGTGCACAGCTTCCGAAGCCCTGGCATTGTATCCCATCTTCACGTGCCTTTTGGTAAATGTCTTGCAACCCTTGGGAATCTGCTCCATGGAAATCGCTGTATGCATACACCTCAGAGATGTGCTCGAGCTGCTTCAAGCTGTGCCCCATGGGGTGACGACACCTCAAAGATTGAGAACAGCTGTCGAGGGCTTCTTGTGCAGTGCTCGAGATGCAGGGTGGCAAGATGATTTCCACCCTAAGTTTCATTGGATACTCCACTTACCTCGGCATTTAGCCAAATTCGGCTGTTTACCTTCTTGCTGGGTTCAAGAACGAAAGCACAGACACATCAAGAGACACGGTGCTCTCATGCACAACACGAGTCACTTTGACAAGTCCTTGCTAGTGGAGGCACTGGGCCAGACTTTGGCGGACTACCAGGACGAGCACCTCTTCGACACAGCCGCAAGGCTGCACCAGAAATGCAAGCCGTCCAAGCAGCTGAAAGGCTTCCTTCGCGAAGTCTTGCCACTCGACGAGGAGGTCTACACATGTGCAGCAGCTCACTTGGCTCCAGCCGGCCACTGTCACAAGGGAGATGTTGTGATCATGAGAAGCTGTGAGCTTGCAGAGGTCTATTTCCATGCCGAGGTTGGAGGCAAGATGTTTTCGTTGGTCAACGTGCTCGAGATGCAGCAGCATGACTGGAAGCATGGTACATGCATCTGTCAGAAGCAGGAAGCTGCGAGCTTGGTAGAGACCGAAAACATCATGGCTGCTGTCGCTTATAGCAGAAATGCTGACGGCAGCCTTCGGGCTTGGATCCCGAAGGAATGCAGACCCTGATCGCGAGAGCTGCCGCTTACAGCAAAAATGCTGACGGCAGCCTTCGGGCTTGGATCCCGAAGCGGACCCTGATCGCGAGAGCTGCCGCCGCATTTCGGAAAAAATGCGTGCTATGACTATACATGCTTCTACACAATTAGCACGATGCCGTGCCACATGTTCAAACCTTGTAAGAGCCCATGGGCTTTTGTATACTTTCCTATACTGCAACTCAAGTATGAGCTTCCTGATTTGTCTGCCCATGTTTCTTTTAAAAGGCTAATCTTATGATCAACTTTCGATGTTTCTGTTTGATACGAACGACTATTTATGCTTACTAACTAGTTAGCTAACTTCTTAGCTAAGTACTTAGCGACACAGCTAACTAGTTAGCTAATCGGCTAGCTAAATACTTGCTTAACCACTTAGCTAACCATTTCTCAAGTGTTAGTAATCTCTAGTATATGAACATAAGCTTTAATAAACACTATAACCGCGAGCGATCTTTAAAGTAACGGACCTGCAAAGGAGCTGTAACGGAAGCTGTAACGGAGCTGTAACGGAGCTGTAACGGAGCTGTAGCAGAAGCTGTAACGGAGCTGTAACGGACGTGCAACGGAGCTGTAACGGAAGCTGTAACGGAGCTTTAGCAGAAGCTGTAGCGGGGCTGTAACGGACCTGCTACGGAGCTGTAACGGACCTGCAAAGGAGCTGTAACGGAAGCTGTAACGGAGCTGTAACGGAGCTGTAGCAGAATGCTGTAACGGAGCTGTAACGGACCTGCTGCGGAGCTGTAACGGACCTGCAAAGGAGCTGTAACGGAAGCTGTAACGGAGCTGTAACGGAGCTGTAACGGAGCTGTAGCAGAAGCTGTAACGGAGCTGTAACGGACGTGCAACGGAGCTGTAACGGAAGCTGTAACGGAGCTTTAGCAGAAGCTGTAGCGGGGCTGTAACGGACCTGCTACGGAGCTGTAACGGACCTGCAAAGGAGCTGTAACGGAAGCTGTAACGGAGCTGTAACGGAGCTGTAGCAGAAGCTGTAACGGAGCTGTAACGGACCTGCAACGGAGCTGTAACGGACCTGCAACGGAGCTGTAACGGAAGCTGTAACAGAGCTGTAACGGAGCTGTAGCAGAATGCTGTAACGGAGCTGTAACGGACCTGCAACGGAGCTGTAACGGACCTGCAACGGATCTGCAGCGGAGCTGCAACGGAAGCTATGACGGAACTGTAGCAGAAGCTGTAACGGGGCTGTAACGGACCTGCAACGGAGCTTTAACGGAAACTGTAACGGAGCTGCAACGGAGCTGTAGCAGAAGCTGTAGCGGAGCTGTAACGGACCTGCAACGGAGCTGTAACGGACCTGCAGCGGAGCTGTAACGGAAGCTGTAACGGAGCTGTAGCAGAAGCTGTAGCGGGGCTGTAACGGACCTGCAACGGAGCTGCAACGGAAACTGTAACGGAGCTGCAGCGGAGCTGTAGCACAAGCTGTAGCGGAGCTGTAACGGACCTGCAACGGAGCTGTAACGGACCTGCAGCGGAGCTGTAACGGAAGCTGTAACGGAGCTGTAACGGAGCGGTAACTGAGGGCCCAGGGTGGGTAGCGCAAATCCCATAGTAAATGATGGTAGAGAACACCCACAACCCTAATCCTAACTCCCAGACAAGCGGACTCAATCAGGTCCGGCAATCTCAGATCTCCATCTGAGGCTAAATACGCCGTGGACCTTTTGGGTAACTGCTAGGCTAGAAGTATGAAGCACGCCTATCTGAGCTAGTGTAGGCAACAGAGACCCTACCAGTATGCAAATGCCACTATACGAAGTTCATAACCTCCAAAACCCTCAAGCACAAAGCCTCAAACAACCATAAGAGATCTTAGCCTGTAATTAGTAAACGTAGAACCCCGAAGCCCCTGAAGCCCTGCCTTGCAATTATGGCCGCAGCCCAAAGTCCTACGCCCCTGGGCGCTGGAAGCACCGTGAAGCCCTTGAATAAACAGAAACTAAACTCCGTGGAGCCCGAAAATACTGACCCGAGGCGGCTAGCCCCTTTCAAGATGTTCAGGGTACTGCGTATAGAGCTAAACCCTCAACCCTAAACCCTTAAACGCTGAGAGCTAAAACACCGAAACCCCTTTAAGGAGTCACTTGCCTTGCAGACATGCTGAATGTACTCGCCATGCAAGACTTGCGAGGCCTTCCAGGAAATTTCGTGGTTGGGGTCCCGGAATTTTTGCGTTTAGGGCTTGGGGCCTGGGGTGTTGAGGCCCTACAGTAAAATGACAGTGGCTTCGGTAGCGTAAAGCTGTTCAGGGTTGAGAAACTGTCTTAATCAACACGCAAAACGCAGCTTCAACACTGTTTGTGGACTTGGTTGAGGCTTCACAGCCCTACAGGATTTGACCTTTGAGGTATTTGCTCGCCTAGGTTTTAAGCTGCTAGGATGTGAAGTTCTGGGTCTTAGGGAAGGAGAATATAAGGGGTTTCGTTCATCGTTAAGGCTTGGCATGAGCTTCATCACGCCATCGTGTACAAGCCACATAGTCCCCTTAAGCTAGCAGCCTTGCTGGAAAGGACTGCTGGAAAGGACTTTTGTTCCCACTTTTCACAAACGCTCTGGTCACAATCTGATCCAAATCTAGATCTGAATCCGAACCTACACCCTAAACCCGGTTCCCCGAGCCTGAGCCCTATCAACTTATCAAGAGAACTTTCCATGAAGCCTGTAAGTCTCAAAAAGTAGCTAAAGCTAACGCCTCAGAAGAATGGCACATGAAAGCCGCATGTCTAGAGTCAAGTTAGGACTGTAGATGTGCCCCTCAACATGTTTGTGAGCGTGCGAAGATGCCAGAGAGCCGCGCCGTCTTCGAGGCGTTCCGATAATAGCTCAATGTCAGCGGCACCTTAGGTTATCAGGCTTTTAGGGTTTGGGGTTTAGGGTTTAGGGTTTAGGGGTTTAGGGGTTTAGGGGGTTTTTGGACTTTGTGGGATTGGTCTTTTCAGGGCGGTGCGTACAACCACGTGAGGGCACGTAGGCGGCAACTTGTACGTTATTCGTAGTTCAGTCGGACAACCCGATATCACCTGCACATGCGGGGAGGATAAGAGCTCTGCTTGAGCTCCGATGCACCTTTTTGTTGTCAGCTCGAAGATGCTGCTCATGGTTACAAGAGCAAAGAAGCAGTGAAAACACACGAAGTGATTCTGTGCATCAGCCATCAAAAGCGCTCGGCCGAACTGTCATTGCAGACGACCCTCCGACTTCTGCGTCTCCTGTCTCTTCGAACGGAAGACTTAATCGTCGCAGCATCCGAGCTTGGCGCCGTTTGGTGCAGGGCAGCACGAACCTGTCAAGCCAAGGTGCATGCACTTGGGGTAGAGCGAGCATGAGGCGGTTGCTTTGGCGAACGGGTTCTTCTTGCCACCCTCCTCCTTCACTGCTGGCGGTGGCATAATGCCAGAGCAGCATCCCAGAGGCACGTTGGCTTTCGTCGGGCAGCACTCTCCCTCCTTGATTCCTGCAGCCACGCAGGCGGGATATGCGGAACACTGGGTCCCATTGATGCCCGCGACCGGCTTCGTGGGAGGAGGCGAGCTGATGTCGGGGAGCTCGATCGGAGCCATGGTGGGTACATCCTGGGCTAAATTTGAGTTGCCATAATAAGGAGACCATATTTTCTACTGTAGATCCCATCCCCACTATGGTAACTTAAACTAAAATCCCTAAAAGGAGCTTTTTACTATAGATCCCATCCCTATTATGGTAAATCCCTAGAAAGAGCCAGGCAGCGGGGAGCTCCGCGGGCAACACGGTGGGCACTGCGGGCATCTTGGGCGGCGAGGCGCCCAGAACCAGACCGGAGCTGCCTCCCTCCGTGATAAGCCCAGCGCTGGCGAGATCCGCCGAGTCCTGGGCTCTTGTTAAGGGATATATTACTTATAAGGTACCATAATAAGGAAACTATATATTTCGCTATAGGTCCCTATTATTATGACCAGAATAAGGAAACCATATTATTTGCAATAGATCCCTATTATTATGGTATCTTAAACTAAACCCCTTAACAAGAACCCAGAGTCTGGGACGGTGAGTCCACTGCCGCTGTCACTAGCGGGCTCGGGGACGCTGGCTGATGGCGGCTCTTCTGCTCCACCTTGCGCGAACGTCTCCCTTAAAAATATGGGGATAGAGTCCGGTTTTGGGGCATCTTATACAGCAGTGTCTTATGAGGACTGTAGTAGTGACTATACGGGGATACACTGGCTACTGATTCCGGGGGTCCACCTATATTGTGACCCTTGGATTCACGGCCCCTCTGCCGTAGCACACATACATGCGATGTGTGGAGTAGACACTGACACGTACAGCCTGCCATGACAAGAGGAGAGCAAGCATAATTATATTTCTTCGCAAACTTAAAACTTGCAGCAATAACATGGAGCATGGCTCAGTATCAGTATTCCTTTCTGACCTACGCCACCAGAGCCCCGGATTCAAAGCCTGGCAAGCCGACAAAGGTGAGACTCAACCCAAATACCACAACCTCGAAAAGCAATGCGTTTTGAACGGCATTGCGCATTGAGCTGTTTAGTCATAGCCATAGTCATACTAAGCGACCACGATCGACTCCTAAGCTGTATCATCTTTGCACTTGAACCTGAAGCCAGGAGCACAATGCTCCAAATTCGGGATGGTAAAGCCTGCATGAAGATTTTCAGAAGTAGCCATGATGTCCTTCAACCTCCCAACCTCTCCCCGACACCCTAAACTTACTCCCTCAAACCTGCACCCCTAAACTTGCTAGCCAGACCGGTACCTCGACCCGGAAAACAAAAGGTACCTACGGAAGGTCTGACTAAAGATTCAGCTTCCTCAGCCCCTTAAACCTACCGGACTGTCAATCGAAGGATGCTTGCGTGAAGGGTCCGGAAATCTCCCTACTGCCCGAAACCCCAAACCCCAATTAAACCCTAACGTAGTTGCTGAGTTCATAAGCCCAAAAAACGTGTAAGACTTTCAGTTTTATTTATAGTGGGTAATATTATCCCAAAACGTGTAAAGTGTATCCACTCAGCTACTAAGCTAAACCCTAAGCCCAAAACTCTGAAACTCTCGATTTTCTCCCGGCCTCCGCAGGACGCTGGTCCCGAAACCGTCGCCGAGAATCGCGGAGGTGCAGCTCGGGCCATGGACTCGGGGCCGGTCACCATGCCTGAATTGGGCAACGTCTTGAGGGTTTAGGGTAATTAGGGTTTGGGGTTGGGGTTTAGGGTTTAGGGGTTAGGGTAATCAGGGTTTAGGGTTATAAGTTATTAGGGTACCAAGGGTTGGAGGTTTAGAGATGTTCCGTCTGTTGATGATACAAATCCTGCATTACCTTAGGGACCCTAAACTATGGGAATTCTGGTATATGCCCTATTATGGGTCATGCAGGATTTGCATCATCAACCGTAAGACAATTCAATAACAACTTTGATGACGAAGATGGTGATGATGATGATGATGATGATGATGATGATGATGATGATGATGATGGTTGTGAACATCATTATCATTATCATCAACACTACCCGTCCGTGTTTTGTTGGTAAATGGGACCATGCACAAAGTTTTCTCTCTCTCTCTCTCACACACACATGAAAAAGGATCTTTCACCAGTAGATGTGGGCGTCCTGGAGCCAGCAGTTCCAATCTTTCAGATCTGCCGTCCGAAGTGGGCACCTATGAACCGGAGTTTCCAACTGCGCTGGAAAATGAATGCTCCTCCAGCTTGGGTGTGCCACAGGACTACCCTGAACCCCCTGAAAGCCCTAAACCCTAAACCCTGGAAACCCTAAACCCTGAACCCTCACACTCTAAACCCTGAAAACCCTAAACCCTAAACCCTGAAAGCCCTAAACCCTAAACCCTGAAAGCCCTAAACCCTAAACCCTGAAAACCCTAAACCCTGAAAGCCCTAAACCCTAAACCCTGAAAACCCTAAACCCTGAACACCCTAAACCCTGAACTCTCAAACCCAATGGACTCCGAATCCTAGTGGGCAAAACTAGAGGTCACCGAGATGCAGCCACCATCTGGCCAGAAGCTGAAGTGGGCGCAGCCTGTGGCAATCACTATCCTTGACGAATTCTCCTAATGAAACCCCTAAAGCCCCACACCTTAAACCCCTAAAACCCCAAGCATTAAGTCTCCTAATGAAACCCTAAAGCCCCACACCTTAAACCCCCAAAAATCCCAAGCATAGAGTCCTAGAGTCCTAGAGCCCAGCCTGGGACGTTCTTGCAGCGATCTTGGCACGCAGAAGCGCTTCGCTCCCGGCTTCGACCCGTGCCGACCATCGAGTGAGGATTGGTATAATATGTTCCGTACTCCATGCAGTCCTCACGGTTTAGGGTTTAGGATTTAGGGACCGTACTCCATGCAGTCCTCTTGGCGGAAGGAGTACGTCTTTTCTGGGTTTACTGCATTCAGTCCTTGGGGGGAGTTGGTACTGCTCACTTTGACAAAATTCCCCAGGCAGCCGTGGATTGTTAGAGCATGTTAGAGCTGGAGGAGGACCATGGTGATGGTCAGGAACATAACGAGGCCAAAACGAACCGTTGCATTTGCAGCTGCAGTTCCTGTTCCTGTTCCTGTTCCTGCTGCTGCTGCTGTTGTTGTTGCTGGTATGGTGATGGTGGCGGTGATGTTGTTGTTGTTGTTGCTGCTGCTCTTGTCGCTGCAGCTGCAGCAGATGCGGTTGCTGCTGTTGCTGCTGCTCTTCATGGTGCCTCTGCGGATGACGGTGATGATGAGGAGGAATGACATAATGATGCATCTGATGCATACGATGATCATAACGACGGAGAACAAGCATGAACACATGGAAATTAGGTGTTTTTGATGGTGGTGGTGAGGTTGTTGTCACTGGTGGTGTGGTTGATGATGATGCTTATGTTGATGACGAGCATGTTACACTGCTGCTGCTGCTGATGATGATGATGTTGTTCATGATGGCAGTGACTGGGAACAAAAGTGGCGGCGGTGGCAAACCGGTGGCATTGGATTTCTAGGATAGCTGTCACCCCTTGCTCTCGCTTTTGATGCCACTGCTTCTTGTGATAATAGAACAGCTCCAAAACCCTGCTTGGCGAGCTGCGGAAAAACCTGTTTTGTATTCAGCGTGGAACCATAATTCTGTCGCACGTGGTGAATTCTTCGGTTCTGACGTCGAGCTCTCAAGCCTCACCTTTCACGAATCCGGTGCGTCTCGACCCAATATCCAAAGCCCGTGCGCGCCGTCCTCCGCAAGAAGGACGAACTCTCCTGAACCATTCTTCCTCGAGAAATCCGAGGCTTGAGCATTTCAGGGATCCGACATGGAAGGAGTTTTACTATCGGGGAGATTCGATTCTGGACTTTGGTGATGCTTCGAAAAAAGAGGATACCACTGTTCAAGTCGATACTAGGGTCCTTTAATCATTGAACCTCCACTGTAACATGTATGTGAAAGCACCACAAACTGAAACCTCGAAAGCAAAGCTGGCTGCAAGCGCCTTGCAATACCCCGCTTTTGAAACCACTAACACTTAAAACCTGAAGCACTGCACCCAGAAACCCAAACCCTGAACTCTAGTCCCTACATTGCCGAATCTGCAATCATACCAGGATCCCCCCAAGAGCCCTTGAACAGAGACCTCATGGTCCCTTTTAATGGAACCCTTCATCGCCATTTGGGGGTTTCCGAAAACAGGCGACCCTAACATAGTTCCCTAAATAGTAGGATCCTTATTAAAAAGGACCCCAAAATCAGGTATCCCTAATTTTCGTAACTCTAGACCCTAAACCCTGAGGCCTTTACAGAACCCTTCTAGATCCCTTTAAGGAAACAGAAACCTCCACTACTATTTGCTTAAGAAACCCCCAAAAAATAAAAATAATAATCCCTATATTACCCCCATAAGGAATATTTGTTTTCATTTTTTTGGGGTTCTTAAGCAAATAGTAGTCCATGTTGGAGCTGGGGTTCGTCAAGCCAGTGACGCCACGATTTGCGGCGAGACCGAGGCCGACGAGGCCGACGACACCCAAAGCAAGGGCCTTGACTTCTTAGGGTTTAAGGTTTATAGGGTCTAGGGGCTTAGCGTTTAGGGTTTAGGGGTTTAGGGTTTATAGTGTTTAGGGTTTAGGGGTAGCTTTGGCTGTTGAGGTTTAGGGCTTTACGGCTTAGGGCGTCTGTTGAGTAATAGCTTGGGTTTATGATTCACAGGGATGGTTTAGCATGTAGCCAGGGGGTGCTCTTGGGTTTTGGTTGGTGTTCTTGTGGTAGTTGTGTTGTTGCGTTTTTCGGGGTTTGGGACCTAAGCTTTGCAGTTTTGGGGCTGCCTGGTTCAGGGCAGATTTGAGGCACTGCGCCTACAGGTCTTAAGACTCAAGCTGAGGGCTTAGAAGGTGCGGCTTGGCTTGACTGAATTGAATCTCTTTTGGGTTTGTGCCCTGCATCTACATGACTTAGACGAAATTCACAGCTTCGGTCTCCCCATGGTCGGATAGCTGCGGCAGTGCTTGATTCTGCGGCTGGGTGCTATGAATTCATAGCTGACACACAAGGAGGCTGAGAATGGATGCCCTGTGATTGAGCGCTGCGGTTGATGATATAAATCCTGCATTACCCATAATAAAGAATATACCATAATTCCCATGGTCTAGGGTCATCACGGTAATGCAGGATTTATATCATCAACAGTGGCGAGCTCCCATAGTGCATCTATCTGTGGAGATTAAGCGTCAGACTGGTCTCTCGGGTTTTCTGCAGCATGACCGGCCGTAGACTGTTTCACGAATCTCCT